TCAGGTTCCTGCGAGCTGGAAGCCAGAAGCAGGTAGCAGAGAGCTGAGAACAGAGCTGCAGAGCCCTGACAAGGAGGAGCATGCATTGGCTGAGCAGGAGTGAGCCCAAGGCTCCTTCTTCCCATGTGTTACCCCTCGAGGGACTGGGTGGATGGCTGATGTTGAGTGTGGAGTGTATTACATTGGGAAATTCCCTGTGGGGCAAGTGTGCCCAGGGAACAAAGGTCTGATTTGAAGTTGAAGACTGCTTGGGTTGGCCAGGCCCCAAACCTGTGACAGGATGTCACAGGTGCAGATGGTGAATTTAGTCCAGGATAAATGTTTGAGTCCAGCCCCAGAGCCAGAACCATGGAGCTTTCCCCCAAATGGAGAACTGAACCCTGTCCCACAGGGACCCACCCCAAACAGGGGAGCTCCATCTCCAGGACACATACTCCATGGGGGTCCTTGGCTGGTCCCTTCACAAAGATTACATTCCTCAAAGGTGTTGATGGCCCCAGAGATCCTGATGGCTCCCCATGGACTGTGTGTTTCTGCACATACCCTATGACGTTGGACAGAGCCTTTCACCCCTGTTGCAAGTGGGAATTGAGGTCCAGAGCAACCCAGTGCCTTTGTCAGGGCAGATCAGGGCTCTGAGCCCAGGCACCCGAGTCCCAGGCCAATGCCCAGACTGAGGAGACCTCTGCAGTGCCCTTACCCTCTGCTTCTCTTCCTCACACTTCCAGCCCCACCTGGAATGAACAAGTGGATGTTGCATGTGGGAAGATGGGGGTGTGAAGATAGCACTGAGCCTCTGGAAGAAACCCTGGGCCCACCTGTCACTTTATGAACACAGGAGGCTCTGGAAGGAGATGAGTCAGCAGGCAGGGGGTACGTGACCAGAGAGCGGTGGGGCTTAACTGGCACATAAGCCCAGGGCCCGGGCTGGGGCAGGGAGTCTCTCCTGGCTGCTGACATGGAAGGAGCTCCTTAACAAGCAACAGGCAGAGGGAGACCCTGCACTCCTGAGAGTTAAGACAAGGCAGCCTGAGAGCTGAGTTAGGAGCTGGTGATTTAGGGACTGAGATGGTGGGGGATGATGGTCTTAGCAGGCCCAGGATCAGGACAGAGATGGAAGCAGAGTAAGCTCAGTGCTGGGAGCAGGGGGGCTTGAATGTCTGCAAGGGATGGGCAGGGTGAAAGAGACTTTTGGAGCCATGTAATAAGTTGCTGAGTGGTGACACCTGAACAGTAGCATGGGATCAGGCATCCCTTGGGCAGCCTCCATTTCCAGTGGTGTAATAAGAATATGACATGGCAAGAAATGCCCCCGTCGGTGCCCCTCTCCAGAGATCTGTCTCAGCCAGCCCGAGAGGCTGCTGTGGAATCTCTCACAGCGGGGATCTCGCTCCTTGTCTGCAGACAAAAGCCTGGTATGACATGGCAAGCAAAGTTATGTGGAGCAAGCCTGAGAAGCAAGGGTAGAGCAGGGGCCTTGCAGCCACCCTTGGGACCAGCACCTATGACACCCACTCTGTGCACAAATGGTTGAGAGGGGCATGGGGAAGGAAGGGATCTGGTCACTGGGACCAAACTGGAACTGCAGCCTATAGGACAGGAAAGGATGAGTGTCCCATTCCCTTCCCTTCCCTTCATGTTAACACCGGACAAGGCAGGGCACTAACACTCAGGGGGGTGCCAGGGGCAGGGCAGCTGGGGTAGGTGCCAATGTGCAGGGTCAGAGTTGCACTGAGGCAGGGAGCTGCTCATCTGTGGTCTCCCAGCTGGATAAGAGTATCTCCCAGCCCAGGGTACTCCCTGGCTCTTACCTGGGAAGGCAGGAGGAGAGTGTGCAGTATAGTACTTACTCCCCCAGAAACACCTGATACAGCTGCCCCTGGCCCCATGATGAGTGAAGGACTGGAGAGGACCTCACCCCAAAACAAGAACTTTTCTGCCCTGCTCTGAGCATCAGCTACCACAGGACACTGCCCCAGCTCTGGTGATGGGGCAGCCCCAGGGGAGCGAACCAGTCAGCATCAGGGCCGAGCAGTGTCGTCTATCTCTGGCAAAGCCAGGATCAGCAGGGCTGCACCACACACTTCTACCTCCTGCAGAAAAGAGCCGCTGCCTGGGGATGGGCTGAAAGACTTCCCGGCACTGGCCCTGCTCCCATGGCAGGCCTTAATGTATTTGGATGGTGTTGGAAATGGGGAATCCTAGGGTCCACCAACCCCAGAGCAGAGATCCCAGACAGCACCTGGGACAGTAAATGGATGGATCTGCATGTTGGGGATCCCTAATGTGCAAGTGGGGAATTTAGTCCAGGAGGAAGGTTTGGGTCCAACCCCAGAGGCAGAACCATGGAGCTTTCCCCCACACCCAGAGATGAGCCTTGCCCTACAGGGACCCACTCCAGAAGGGTGTGCTGTGAAGTAGTGCTTTCTGGTCTGATGTCTAGCCTGAACCTACTCTCAATCAACTTGTGGCCGTTATTCCTTGGTACCCTGGGTAGTGCTCGGGGGAACAGAGCCTCTTCCATTCTCCGCCGGTCCCCCCAGTAAGTTTATAGACAGCCACCAGATCCCCTCGCAACCTTCTCTTGTGGAGCCTGAACAGGTTCAGGTCCTGTAGCCTTTCCTCATAGGGCCTGCCCTGCTGCCCCCTGACCATTCAAGTGTCCCTCCTCTGGATCCTCTCAATGCAGGCCATATCCCTCCTGAAGTGTGATGCCCAAAACTAGATGCAGTACTCCAACTGAAAATAGGAAGCATTTAGCAGAAGATGGTTTCAACTGATTGACCTCTGGGTTATGGGCTCAGCATGCTTCTCCTGAGCCACTCTGCTACCAGTTCCTCAGCTCCACCTGACTCCCTCAGGCTTTGCCAGCTCTTAGCAGGGAAAAAATTGCCAGTGTAAGGAATTCATACCCTTTATATCATTTGAGCTAGAACTCATACATCCCCTCCTCCAGAGAAGAGGCCATCATAATATCCCAAGTGCTCTGATCTCACCCTTCCAAAGACCATCAGTAAAGTTCAGGCCATGTCCATATCATTCAAGGAAATTCAGAAATAAATTACTCCACCCACAATCATGGGAAAGAGCTGGCCAGCACTGACTATATTGTGACAATGAAGTGGTGTGAGGCCTGGATTGCCATTAGCAGGTTCAGGGGACAGAGATTCTCACATGCACGCTCAACACATTCACAAACTTATGCTCCCAGCAGCTGATGTTGTCCAAAGCCAGGGGAAAACCCCCAGGGCAGGGCCCTGGAGACTGCTTCTGCAAGCACCTGGTGATGGGGGAGCCGAGCACAGTCTGTTCAGAGCTGTGGGGTGAGTCCAGGGGGAAGGAACCAAAGGTCACTTGAAGGGGGAAAGGAGGCCTGTGGCTTACAGGAGCAATTGGTGGCACCCCGCAGGTCAGCCTCTGTCAAAGCTTCACTCACTTCTGATTGCTGATGGATGCCACTTCCCCCGCACTGACAAAAGGAACCTGGTAGAAATGGGCTGAGGGAAGCAGCAGCTGTGGTTAGGTGTGCAAGGGAGAGGCTGACTTTGCTACAACTGGGCTGTAAGCCCGCAAGGCTTGGGAAAAGCTTCCCTAAGGAAAGAGCTTGCACAACACACCGCTGGCACCAGTCAGACAATTTATTGGCCAGAAAGGCCGTCACCCCCCAGGAGGACAGAAAGCTGCCAAAGGAGTGATCCAGAGTGGTAGTGGCAGCATTACAACAGCACAAGCTCCATCCCATGTTTCAATGCAACTGGCCCAGCCCCAACTCTTTCCATCCAACAGCCCCATGGGCCACGCCAAGCACCCCGACCAGTGCTACAAGCTGACCCTGCCAGGGACTGCTCTCAATTGGAACAAAGTGACCAAAAACTCAGAGACCCACTAGGACTAGCTTTGCAACAGGATGTAGCATGCATTTCCTGGGCAACATTGAGTGCCTCCATCTTGTGACACGTTTCCACCCCCCAAGCTAATGAGAGTCATGCTGGGCATTTCTATGGAAAACTAGCCTTAGTCAAAGGCCCCAGGGGAGGCTAATTCTTACATGCAGCAGTTGTCACAGCCAACAGCCTTGTTACAGCTCCCCACGTGTCAGATCAGAGTCCCTTGAAGATCACCCAAAAGCAGTAGCACTGGGGAGTGCAGATGTGGTGCAGGCTTAGACAGAGACAAGTCAGCCACAGTAGTCCATGTGACAATGGAGGGAAAGTGAGAAGAGCTCCAGACACAGGGACAGGTGCCAGGAGACCCCACCTAGAGATCCACACCGGACAATGCAAGCCCGAAGCTGCAGGATCTAACTGAGGAGCCCTGCAGAGAGAAAGGGGAGCGACGTCAGCACAGGACAGGGACTGGTGGCACTGGGGAAGGGCTGGGGGGGAGGGCTTGACAGGCTTCAGGGCATCCCCTCACAAGTGTCTGGAGACTCCAGATGGGGAGATGCTAAGAAAGGGCCCAGGATGCTCTGGCCCTGGGAATAGCTCAAGGATCCACCTGAACAGTGGTAATGAGGGAGATGGAGACTCCTCCTCTTCCTCACTGAAAATGTTCCATGTTCCAGCTCCCACCCAGGTTGGGCTGGGAAAGTGCCAGGGTGAAGGGGCAGCATCAGCCACGTCATGGACACCTCATGCAACCCATGGTCCCTGAGGGCAAAGGGTGCTTCATGGGGGTAGGATGAGATGGAAATGACCTATTGGTTGGGGAACAGGCTGGCCTGGAAAGCAAGGAGAAACAGTCAGAGTCTGGGCAGGGGCAGTCCGTTCCTTAGAGATCAAAGCTCCTGCCCAAGGCTTGAGAAATGGAGCACACCTCCTTAGGGACCCCAAATCCCTCATTCAAAGCCCACATTGCTGTCTTACCAAAAGCAGGGCTGGATATAGGGAGTCACTGTGTGGATGTCTAGATATTTCCCTGAACTGAACCTATGCGGTTTGCCCTCTATTAAGAGAGAATGAAAAGCTATGATCAGTTGTGGCATGGTTACATGTGTGTGAACCACAGGGTCAGCCAGGACAGTTTGCATTTTTATTATTAGCCAAGACAGGCAGGGAGGTACGGACAGAATCAAGGGCCAGGAACAGCCCTAGACCAAAGAATGGCTAAGCATGTTTTGGAGAAGCCCTGACTGTCAGAAGGACAGTTACCTTATTCACATGACACACTTGTGTTTTCCAGTAATATCAGTCATTCAAAGTTTAGGAGCTAGGTGGCAGTGGAGGGAAGACTTGGATGAAGAAACAGATTCTGAACAGCTTGGATAAAACAGAAGAGACTGTCATTTCTCTCACACCACAACCATTTTCCCTTAAAAAAAAACAGCTGCTGGATATCGTGGTGAGCATTATATGTGAGGCATACGGTAAGAGCAGCTTCTGCTGCTTCAAAGGCAAAAGTGAAAGTGCAAGTGAAAGTTGCATGGACCTCAGAGTGGTCAGGGCCACAAGCAGTCCTCTCTCCCTCCTTCTCCCCATCTCCTGACTCCAGGAATGGTCTATTATTCTCCACTCTGCCTTTCAAAACCAAGGGGTATATTTTCTTTCAGGCTCTGTTGTAGGTGAGACAATCCTCCACCTGTTCCACATCCCTCACTGATTATCAGGGTTAAGGGTGAATCCAGAAAAAACTGACACCTGCAGGCCTTTTGCACCTGCAAGGCTGAAAGGCTGAAGACATAAATTATATTGCACGGAACAGAAACAGGCTGACCCACCAGCTGGCAAAGCTTCCTCTGCTGGAGCAGCAAGGTCTGGGCCAAGGGCAGCTGGAACTAAGCTCTCCTAGGATAGCAAGTTTTCTCCAAGGAAAATCTTGGTCTGTCCCACCAGACAAGCAGCAGCAGGATAGAGGAGAAAGGTATGGAGCTGAGGGACCCCCCAATATTACATCACCATGAAGTCGCACAGCGTGTTACACCCAGGTGCCCCAACCCCCTTGGACCTGTCCCCTCCTAACCCAGGGTCCCTGCCTTGCAGCAGAGGATAGGAAATGCCCTGAGATAAGGCAGTGACAGCTCTGCCTACCCATGGCCCCTGCTTTGTCCTGCCCCTCAGAGGAGGGAGGGACAGTGGGATCCATCCCGGCCCCAGGACACAAGAAGCTGGGAAGCTCCTGCCATATTCCAAGGCAGAACCTGCTGGGAGCTGAGAGAGAGGGGAGCCTCCAGCCAGGCCCACCGGTCCAGCCCTAGTTCCACCACCCCATCCATGCCCTACTCACCTTTCTTGTTCCTTAGGTAGACAAGGAGTCCCAGTGCCAGGAAGATCAGCCCCATCATGAAGCCCCCAATCCCCGTCAGCATCTTTCTCCTGGCTGAGTCCGACTTTGCCTCTGTGGGGATAGCAACCCAAAGGCTCAGTCTAGGCTATCATGCCCTGCTCACATGCCTGCTCTCTGCCTCTGGGGTGGGAAGTAGCTTTGACCCAAGCCAGTGGTGATACATAGGGGGTGCACAGGGGTGCATGCACACCCCCTAAGAGTGCTGGTGCATCCCCTGACTGGCCACACTCACTGCTTCGGTGATGGGCAGGGGGAGCAGGCAGGAGGACCACTGCCTCCGCTGCAAGCACTGGCCAATAGATGCAGCCACTCCCAGGAGTGGACGGGTTGCTGCAGCCACTCCCGGAAGTGGTTGCAGCGATCGGCCGCAATGATCAGCTGTCGCATAATCAGCCACAGGAGTGCACCCAGGCAGCAAAATCGGCAGCAAGACTGACCACAGGGGGACCCCGTCCCGGTCAACAGGACTGGTCGCAGAGAGGGCATGTGCACCCCCACCCCACTAAGGCAGCACCAGTTGCCCATGACACAAGCAATCTCCTTAGGGTATGGACAGAATGAGGGGTGTTCCTGAGGGGCTCAAGAGCTACCCCAGTCCCCCCAGGCTCTTACCCCAGGCCACAGTTAGGGAGCCCATCAGGCTGCTGTGCTCCACCTGGCAGGTGTAGATGTCCCCACTGCGGGGGGTCATTTCCAGCATCACCAGGATCTGGAAGCTCCAGTCTCCGTTCTGCATCAGCTCCGTGGACACGACTCCAGCCATCTGCTCCTGCCCGTTCTTCAACCACTTGACCTCAATCCCACCAGGGTAAAACCCGGTCACAAAGCAAACTAGTGTGTCCAGGTAGACCTGGGCCCCTGATTTTGTTGGGGAATCTTTCACCTTGGGCTTCACTGGGAGGGGAATAGATGGAGAGAATGAGCTAGGAATGAGAATGATTCCTCCCCCAGCAAAAGTTTTCTACCCCCATCCCAAACCCTCATCAGTCTCTCTCACCCTTGACTCTTGGGTTCATTTATATCTTGTAATTTGGTAGCACTCTAAGATTGCTCTGTTATCTCACATCTCTCACACACCGTTTTTTTTCCCCCCCAAGAACAGGTGCTGTGCTTTGTAATGAGCGTCTTGACTGAGAAATACAGTAAGGACACTTTCCTAGCAGAACTTCATAGACTTCATAGAC